CAACATCATACACATTGGGCAAAAACTAAAAGCGTTTCCCTTAATATCAGGAATAAAGCCAGGACCATCCACTTTCACCACTATTCAACATAGTACTGGAAGTCCTAGCCACAGCAGCCAGACAAGAAAAGGCATCCAAATTGGAAAGGAGGAAGTAAAATTGTCATTCTTTGCAGATGACATGATGGTGTACACAGAAAACCCTAAAGACTCCACTAGAAAACTGCTAGATCTAATAAATGAATTTGGCAAAGTAGCAGGATGCAAAATTAATATTCAGAAATCAGTTGCATTTTTATGCGCCAATAATGAACTATGAGAAAGAGAAACTAAAAAAATCCCACTTGCAATTGCATAAAAAATAAGGTACCTAGGGATAAATTTAACCAAGGATGTGAAAGACCTGAACTCAGAAAACCATAAGACACTGAAGAAACTGAGAAAGATACCAACAAATGGAAGCATATACCTACCGTGTTCGTGGATTAGAAGAATTAACATCTTTAAAATGTCCATACTACCCAAAGCAATCTATAGATTTAGTGCAATTTCTCTTAAAACACCAATGACAGCCCTAGCCAGTTTTGCTCTGTGGTTAGAGCGTTGGCCTGCAGACCGAAGGGTCCTGGGTTCGATTCTGGCCAAGAGCATGTACCTCGGTTGCAGGCTCAGGGATGCTAGCTGTGGTACATTTACACGGTGGATTGATTACTGCCCAGCCTTGAAAGAAAAAAAAGATCTTTTGTGACAGCATGGATAGACCTGGAGATTATTATGCTAAGTGAAATAATCCAGTCAGAGAAAGACAAATACCATATGATCTCACTTATATGTGGAATCTAATGAACAAAATAAACGAGAACAAAATAAGCAGAGGCATAGATACACGGAACAGACTGAGCTGTCAGAGGGGTGAGGGTAGGGGAGGATTGGGTGAAGGTGTAAGGATTAGCCAAAAAACACATAACATAGAAACAGACAACAGTATGGTGATAGGGGGACAGGGACTAGATGGAGGTGGGCAAAGGGAGGGACAATGGGGACATCTGTAATAGTGTCAACAATAAAAATCAGATATAGGTGCCACATTTTATCCTTGAAGATTCTGATTTTGAAATTAGATACGGGCACATTCACACCCACAAAATTTGGTCATCACTATAAATAGCATAAACAAATACATTTAACTTCATTTGTTTTATGAAGCATACAAATGGATTTAATTCTCTCTCCCAGACTAGCTCTTTCTAAGAGCACAAGATAAATTTTTAAATAGAATAACAGCAGTTGAAAACCATACAATGCACTGTTAACATTCTGATGTACTAAATTTCACTCTAGGTAATATGGGAATTTCCACTATTGTGTGTCTATGCTTAATGGAAATTTTATAGGAATGCTAAGCATTGAATGGCAGTCACATTACTTAGTAGATTACTAAGTTGGAGTTTTTAATATCTAAAAATGGATTATTCTAGCTTATGAATATCACACTTAATTGACCTTTTAATAATTTAGTAGTACTAGTAAATAATCCTTGACCAAGAAAATCCAAATCATTGCCTGTTAGAACCAAAAATGGTCTTGGCATTTGGTGACTGCTTTTAGCTTGTCAAGGGGATCCCGAGGTCTACCCAGGGAAAGAGTACAATACTATAGGAATGGAGTATCAGTATTTTTATCAGTGCAAACCTTTCCAGTAGAGATCATTACTAAATGTACCTTTAGGTATGGTCATTTAAATTTGAGGCCAGAATTAAGTCCTTGTTTCAGAGAGTCAGTTGATAATGTAATTAGCACAAATAGGTGATTGTATGGAATGAATCTGGGCAAGACCCAATACATTATAAATCCTCCAGGAACAAAGTTCTTTGAAGCCAAGTTGATCTCAGTGTGGAAGAAATATAGACCTCTTTCATCACATGTTGTAGGTGCTAACTAGGCCCTAGCTACATAGGACTTTCATATCTCTGAGTAGGACTCCATCCTAAGAGAAAGTTAAGGAACCTCCAGGAATGGAAGGGAAGGAAAGAAGCCTTGTCTTCAAATGCTTTTATTGGTCTTCTATGTGATATTTTCTTGTGATAGCATTTCTGATAGTATGGACTGGTTTTCATTACCATAGATGTTACCTGGTTATTTTATATCTGAATGTTCCTGTTTACCTGTGAAAGAAAAAAAATGTAGCTTAACTCTGCTAATAAATAAGTAGAATCTATATGTGGTTCAAGGCCAGTAATACGCATAATCTGATCAGATAAAACCAGATGTAAAGAATCATAACAGAGCTGAAGCAACAAGATGGCAGTGAGGGTAACAGCTGCACCTGCCGCCTCCCACAACCACATCAAAATTACAACTAAAATACAGAACCACCATCAGTCGGAACCTCCAGAAATCTGGCTGAATAGAAGCCCTACAATCAGGGAACTGAAGAAGCACCTAGACCGGTAGGAGGGGCGGAGACGCGGGTGGATCAGGACTGAATCGGAGACTCGCCGAGAACCCACACCTGGTGCAGCGATTTAAACCCGGGAGGGAATCTCCGCGGTGGGGGTTTCCCGGAGGAGTGAGGGAANCCGAGAACCCACACCTGGTGCAGCGATTTAAACCCGGGAGGGAATCTCCGAGGTGGGGGTTTCCCGGAGGAGTGAGGGAATCCCAGCCCCACAGCAGGCCCCCAGCCCAGGGCTCCAGGGCCGGAAAGACGTCCCCACAACTTCAGGCTGTGAAACCAGCGGGGACTGTGACTGAGGGTCGTGGAGGCTGCAGGATCCCCAGCAGCTCCTCTTAAAGGGCAGGCGCACAGACTCACTCGGACACTCTCCCTCTGATCCCCAGCGCCAGGTAGCAGCTTGAAAGGAACCTGGGACACTTGGGGAGGAACTAACCTGCCTGAAATCGGGACAAGAGGTGGAGGGGTGGGTTTCTCCTAGACAGAGGAGCTGGCAGAGGTCATTATTCCTTCGGCGAGTCCTCTGCGCGCACGCACACACCGCTGGCAGGCAGGCACCATATTTGAATCCCCAGCACCTGACTCTCACCTTTGACCGCCCCGTGATTCCTGGAGGCCCTGCCCCTCCCCACCTGCAGCTCATCCAGGCCATTTCCAGGGGCTTTTCTATGCAAGTGACCTCTGGAGCCTTATGCTTAGGACATTCCTAAAATCTCCCAAACAAGCAGCAGCGTGCCCCATACAGCTTGATAAGCGGCCCCAGGCCTGGCACTAGCTGCAGCCTGCATTGGCTCATAGCTTCGCCTCTCCTGGACACCTCCAAGCCCACCACAAATAGCAGCCAACTACGGTTTGCTGTGTAGCTCATGCTGGGTGGCCCTGGGCAAGGCACTGGCACAGGCTGACTTTGCACCTCCCAGGAGGCCCCAGAGACAGTGCACCTGGTGGTCAGACTCGACCACACTGGATTACAACCCTACCACATCCACGAGTGACACACTCAAGGGGGGTACTTGGTGAACACCAAAGGTCCACTGAAATAAATCCTGCTCCATAGGGGTGTATCCAGCACAGCAGCTCTCTCGCTGTAGTTGCAGCTGGTCCTCACAGCTGATTGGCCTGGGGGTCAATTCCTCCCAGGGACGCCAACAGCAACCAAGGCTCAACTACAACAGGACAGTGCACACAGCCCACACAGGGGAGCACCTAGAAGGCCCAGCTCAGGTGACTGGGGAGGCTGAGCCACTGGACCCTACAGGACACCTACTACACAAAGCCACTCTACAAATTCCAGGAGACATAGCAGCTCTACCTAATACATAGAAACAAACACCTGGAAGCAGCCAAAATGTGGAGGCAAAGAAACATGTCACAAAGGAAAGAACAAAAGAAATCTAGAAAAGGAACTAAATGAAATAGATCCAAGCAAGCTAACAGATACAGAGTTCAGAATAATGGTTATAAGGATGTTTAAGCAGACTTTTAGGGAAATAACTGAGAAAATCAACAACGTAATAAAGTACCAATTTGAAATGAAATCTACAGGAACTGAAATGAAGAATAATTTACATGGAATCAACAGTAGAGTAGAGGACACTGAGAATCAAATCAGCAATTTGGAACATGAGGAAACGAAAAACACCCAACCAAAAGAGCAAAAAGAAAAAAGAATCCAGAAATATTAAAATAGTATAAGGAGCCTCTGGGACAACTTCAAGAGGCCCAATGTTCATATTATTGGGGTGCCAGAAGGGGAAGAAAGAGACCAAGAAATTGAAGACCTATTTGAAATAATAATTACAGAAAACTTCCCCTACCTGGGGAAAGAAATCGACTTACAAGTCCAGGAAGCACAGAAGGTCCCAAACAAGAGGAACTCAAAGAGGCCCACAGCAAGACACATCATAATTAAAATGCCAAAGGTTAAAGACAAAGAGAGAATCTTAAAAGCAGCAAGAGAAAAGCAGTTAGTTACCTACAAGGGAACAGCCATACTACTGTCAGCTGATTTCTCAACAGAAACTTTGCAGGCCAGAAGGGAGTGGCAAGAAATATTCAAAGTGATGAAAAACATGAAACTACAACCAAGATTGCTCTACCCAACAAAGCTGTCATTTAGAATTGAAGGTCAAATAAAGAGCTTCACAGATAAGAAAAAGCTAAAAGAGTTCATCACCACCAGACCAGCACTACAGGAAAAGTTGAAGGGTCTTCTTTAAGAAGAAGCTAATGAACAAAAGAATCTGATCAGCCAAATAGATCCAGAGACACTGATGCATATAACAGATGATCATATTTCAGAGGAAAGAGGGAAGGGGGGTGGAGGGTGGGAAGAGATTAATCAAAGAAGTTATATGCATATATGCATAACCCATGGACACAGTTAATAACAGGCTGAAGGCCTGGGGAGGGAGTGGGAGCAAAGTAGAGGGGGTCAGTTGGGGGGGGAATGGGACACCTGTAATATTCTCAACAATAAAGATAAATTAAAAAAAAAAATCATAACTAATCTTGTTTACCATTATTTTTCTTTACTTGTTCTTAGGGTTTTGACCCACCCCATCAAAGTGACACGAGAACTATTTACATAGCCAACAGGTTTCCTCAGAATGGCCTTTACACACCTCAGAAATTTATAGATAACCGGATCATTTCATCTAAGGTAAGAATTAACACTTTTATTATTAAAATTACACATATGTATCACTTTGTTTTGAGAACTGGTTTATTTGTATATTCTAGTATACACTATAATCTTAAAAATTCAAGGAAATGGTTAGTAGACTTACCTTAACCAAAATTGTGAACTGTAAAATAAAAGGAGTTGCCAAATGCTAATTATCTTTAGTTTCAATTAAACTAAGGAACTAATAGTTATACTATATGCAGGCACTATATTAGGTACTTCTCATATCATTTAATCCTTACAACAACTCTGAGATAGCTTTACAAAGTGTTATACTCATTTTGTATCAGTTTCATCAAATGAATTGCTGGGAAATAATTTACTGCAGGTCACACACTAATAAGTGATGAGATTGGAGTTTTACCTCAGTTCTGTGCAATTTTAAAGCTTGACTTCCTGCCCTGACTGGTGTGGCTCAGTGGTTAGAGAATCAGCCTGTGCACCAAAGGTTCATGGGTTCAGTTCCTGGCCAAGGGCACATACCCGGTTGCAGGTTCAGTCCCTAGCCCCAGTTAAGGCACGTGCTTGAGGCAGCCAATCAATGTGTCTCTCTCACATCAGTGTTTCTCTCTCTCCCCCTCCATCTCTCTCTCTCCCTTCTTCCTTCCTTTCCCTCCCTCTCAACCCCCTCCCCCTCCCTTCCTTCCACTCTTTTTAAAAATCAATGGGAAAAAATATCCTCAGGTGAGGATCAACAACAACAACAAAAAAACTAAACCTGACTTCCTCCAATTTTATCACTCTTCTGTAAACATTTTATAGTACCAGATACTGCTTCACTCTTTTTTTTTGAAGATGTCTGTTTATTTTGAAACTGAAGAATATAGAGTAATGCTGTCCAGTAGACTTTTCTCTCATGATAGAAATGTTTTCCACACTAATTTGATGGCCATTTGCCATATAAGGCTATTTAGGCATTGAAATGTGGATAATGCATCTGAAGAACTTCATTTTATTTTCAATTAAATGTCAATAGCCATATGCATCTAGTGGTTACCTTATTGGACAGTGCAGGTATAAAGGATGTGAGTCAAAGAGACTAAGGGTAAAGTTCTTAGATCATAACTATTGCTTCCCTCTCTTCCAGAGTGACTAATAATTTTCTCTCTAGTCCTGATCTGATCTTTCCCAATATTGTTTTAGGCCAGTGGTTCCTTTGTTCTTTCCTCTTTTTTTTCAGTCTTCAGATTATTTACATATGCAACACACCCATTAGTGACTTCTCTCATCAATTGTTCTAATGCAGAGAGCTGAAAGGGGAAATACCAGGAGTAATAGAGGAACTCTAGATTAATGACACTTAGTAAATTATGCAAGAACTAAAAGTCCTTGAAAATTTTAAGGTTTTTAAAAAACCCTTGGGTATAATTTATGTACAATAAATTCACCAATTTTAAGTATACAATTTGATGAATTTTCACAAATGGATAACGTGAATCACCACCACAATCAAAATATAGAATACATTCACCACTCTAAAAATTAACAGCCAGTTCCACTCCTCCTCACTTTCAGCACTAGCAACCACTGATCTACTTTCTTTAACTATAGTTTTTTTCTTTTCTGGAATTTTATATAAATACGTTCATATAGTATGAGTTTTTTGTACCTGACTTCTTTTTACTTAACATAATACTCTTGAGACTCACCTTTGTTGTTGCACATATCAGTATCAGTAGTTCATTCCTTTTTAGTGCATGGTTTAGATGTCAGCCTGGATTTGCATATTGTACGTTCTGAATTTGGTTCATTTTTCTTTTGTGGTTCTTTCACTACCAGTGTTTTCCCCTTAAATTTTCAGCCCTCAACTCCAATCTCTGTCATATTTTATTGATAAGGGTGTAGTTTTCCCCTTGTTTTGCTGTCATAGCTGTGAGTTTGGATAGTGTCTCCAGACTAAAAAGACACAGCTCACAATTCATACTCCTTCTATTTAGAATTTAAAAAATTAAACATTCTTCCAGTTTTTATTTATATTTTGGACATTTTCCAGAATTTTCAATAATTTTTTAAAATCTAGTTTTTGTAATTCTCATCTACTAGGAGTTCACAGGACCAGTGACCTCTCACAATCCTGGAAAACTTTGGGGATTATCTTTATATGATTGTTTTCATTTGCAGCAGTATTAGGTTTAATATTTTTGACCACTGTTTTGAAAATGTAGATATTGAAATAAACATTGCCCCCCTTTTTTTTAAGCATACATAAGGACTATCTCTCTCATTACTCCCTTACTACTTCCTTATTATTCCACTACTGTTTTCTTAAACTACTTCCAAACCAGGTTACCTGCGATTTTATATAAACTCTGTTGAACTTCCCTACCCCTGTGCTTTTGCTATGATTTTCTGTTGGTAACCACAATTTTTAAAATATAGACTTTATGTTTTTGTAGAGATTGTAGATTGCATGTTTTTGTAGAAATGTAGAATTCATTTTTTTTACCACAGTTTCAAGAATGCAGACATTTATATAGACAGTGTCAGTTTTTTTCCTGACCATAAATGAGACTGGCTTCTATTACCCCCTTTTTACTACCTTTGTAACCTACTATTGTTTCCTTAAATTCTTCCAGACTACATTATCTTTTATCCCACAAAGCCATCATGAACTTTCATCCTCTTTGCCTTTGTTCATACTGTCCTTCCTTCCTGAAATGTTCTCCCTCTATTTGCCCTCTATTTTTAGCCTGTGAATTTATTTCCTCTCTTAAAGCCCATGTCAAGTAAGAACTCCTTTATTAAATTTTTCTTTCTTGCCCTAGCTGGTTTGGCTCAGTGGTTAGAGTGTTGGCCTGTGGACTGAAGGGTCCCAGGTTCGATTCCAGCCAAGGGCACGTACCTCTGTTATGGGAGGCAGCTAATGGATGTGTCTGTCTCACATCAATGTCTCTCTCTCTCTCCCCTCCCCCCCCCACTCTCTTTGAAAAGCAATGGAAAAAGAATTATCCTCAGGTGAGGATTTAAAAAAAAATGTTTTTTCTTTCTCACTGACTGCTTTTTCTTTCAATTCTTTGTATATTCCTTCATTTTATCTTTGAATGCAGCTATTAATATTTTGTTGTTAATTTCTATTTAATATTGAATTTATCATTTTCCTCTTATAGTGCAAGTGTCTTGCACATTGTAGATGCATGATGTTTTGGTTTAATTTACCATGGTAACTACCTTATTTTAAATTTAAACTTAAGCAAAAGATTTAATTTTATATCTGTATTTTAGTTTTCTTACTAATGTTAGACCTTACAAGGAAAAAAGGTCAGTTATATAGTCATATACACAACTGCAGAGAAGTTATACTTCTAATTCATTTTTGTTGACTATTATTAAATCATAATTTAAATTTTTTAAAGCATAATAAATCATTTTTCTCAGAATATTTTCATATTGTTTAATATTATTTTACTAGTGTCCCTCTTCCATATGTGAGAGAACAAGCACAGAATTTAGACTCATTCAATTTATTAATATGTTTGTATTTAGAAAACCTGGAAACAGCAATTCCTAACATTTGTAAGTTAGTTTTCGTAAAAAATTTTTATTTATTCTTAGTTTTTTCATTGGATTATTGAGCTGGCCAAAGAAAATGTCCTGAACCCAATTACCTTACTGCCAATTTATGTAGTTGTTGTTTTCAGTATTTTGGAAGACAAAATATATTGTCTCTGTTATGGTTTAAATAGCTTGACATAAATTTGGGACATTACCAACCTAATTCTTATCAAGTTTATACATTTGATTTGATGACTGAAGAAGCTACATGGAATACTCTGACCCCTGTAGGGGCAACTATGCTTACTCCAGTAAAGATCAGCTGGAGATGATTTGAGCCAGAATTACAGTCTCATATATAGGTATTGAACAGTAACTTCTTTTAGTGCCAGGAAGTATCTACCTTTCTTCTCTTTAGAGCCCTGAACACAATTCCTTCTCCCAGAATCTGAAGCCACTGATTCTACCACAGGAAAATATGTTTCAGGTATCCCAGATTAGAACTGAAAAATATAATTTCACCTAAAAAAGGGAAGTTGTTAGCTATTGTACAACTCTTTATGTACCCTTGAGTCAAATAGGCTTTTGTGGACTCTTCTGGGAACCCAGCCGTATTTGTAAAATTGTTCATATGGGCCCTGCCTGGGTGGCTTGGTTGGAGCATTGTTCTATACTCCAAAAGGTTGCAGGTCAAATTCCCAGTCAGGCACATACCTAGGTTGCTGTTAAATTCAGTATGAGAGGCAACAGATCCCTCTCCCTCTCTCTCTCTCTGTCTCTCTCTCCTCCCTTCCTTCCCCCACTTCCTCCCTTCCTTTCTCTCTGAAAAATCAATAAAAACATATCTTTGGGTGAGGATTAAAAAATAAATTGCTCATATGGGAAAGGAAGTTTCAGGTCTCAAATCAACTGATTAAGAAGTGAATTTTTGACATAAGAAATTTTAGAAATTAGAACCATCTTACATTGCACCAGAGAAAATTTGGTAAACTGTCTCTTTAAATATCTTGGAATGTCAATTAAGGTTTCATTGCCTGACATCAGGATAGTTATCTAGAAAAAAACCAAACGTTTCAACCATATATATTTATTTAGTTATCCTACTAAACTTTTGAACTCCAACTTTGTGCCAAGTAGTAGTATAAGTGCTGCATAGAGCAATAAATAAAACAGTGTTCCTATCCTCAGGGATCTTATATTCTACTGGGAGAACGTACATAGGGTAATGTAGCAGTGCTACAGAGTGTTTCCCTGTTTCACATACGAAGTTGTGAGTAGTGAATGACACAAATGAAATTAGTACTGTATTCATATCCTGCCCCTATAATAGGGTATTATAGGCTTATGAGTTGATTAATAATATAGCAGACACATAGCAATTAATATGAGCCAGGTTCTATCCTAAGTGCTCTATAAATGTATTAGCTCATTTAATCTTTATAACAGTATAATTATAAAATACAGTGTGATGATTATTGTCTTTTTGTAGAGGTACAAAAAGTGAGGCGCAGAGAGATTAGGTCCAAGGTCACTTAGGGATCTTGAATCAAGTGTGGGCCACAGTAGTTTAACCCCCTGCCATCTATATTCTTAACCATTATGCTCTACTGTTTTACTTTAAAATTGACATTGTGACAGATTTTCATGTCCTTTATGAAATTTTCTTAGTGATGATTCCAGCGATCACTTCTCTAAGGTATTATTTAATTTTTTTCACATTCTGGGTTATTTTTTCATATTCCATACTTAACAAATAATTGAATAATTATACCATTTTCTTTATTTCCAACACTGAGCTAAATAAAATATAAAACAGATTGTATCTAGTGTCAGCATTTCTATTAATTCTTATTTATCTTTAGCGTTAGGTTTAGTTTTGTGTAGTAACCAAAGTCCAAAATAAATTATTAAAATGTAAAATGTGATTTGACTTTGGGTGGTAGGCACACAATGCAATATACAGATCATGTATCATAGAAACATACACCCGAAGCCTATATAATCTTATTAACCAATATCGCCCCAATAAATTTAATTAAAAAAATTTTTTTAAACGTTGTTTTAGATTTGCTATCTCCAATTCCTAAAAAATCAAGAATTTAGTAGCAAAATTTTAGATTACAGTTTTCCTCATTTTTAAAAAGTATACTAAAATTGCAAATAAATAGAGGGAAAAAAAAGAGTAGAACGAAAGTTTTGAGACTCTAAAAACTAGATAGTTTCTGTAGCATGGGGCAGAGTTGAGGGAGGCAAATGGCGGAGGGAGAGAGTGGGGGACATGTGAAATAGTCAACAGAAAGAGTTACATTAGTGCTCACTTCAACAGCACATATACAAAAATTGGAACGATACAGCGATTAGTATGGCACACAAGGATGGCATGCACATTCGTGAAGTGTTCCATATTTTTTATGAACTTTAGAAAGAAAGAAATCCAGCAAATTTCAGTCATTAAAGAGTTACATGAATTTGTCTAAGATCTTAGTAAATCTGATTTTACTTTTATTATATCCATATAGTGTATATTATTTTTAAATTTATTGCTCTCCTGTTTTTGTTTTTGTTTTAGTATACTGTGTGGAATTTTATTCCAAAGAATTTATTTGAACAATTCAGAAGAGTGGCAAACTTTTATTTTCTTATTATATTTTTGGTTCAGGTAAGCTTTATCACTCAACAGATTGTTAAATTTATAGATAAGATTTCTAAAAATATATCTTCAGGAAAAGTTACATTGCATTCTAAATCATTTGACTGTGGGACCATTTTTGTTTTCTGTAGAGCTTCCCCATTGTATTCAGTGAGCACAATTATTTAACCACATCTAGATTTCTAAAAAACTAGCCAATGAATTTTAAGATAATTTTATTTGTTTCATTATTGATGTGCTATGGTGCTGATAACCATAATCAAAGCCAAGAAAATAACATCATTTTTCAGATGTTCTTCCAGAACATAAATATTTTGGCTTTACATGTTTTTGGCACATTTCTGCGTATGGAACCATCTTTGTACAAAGTGAATTTTTCTTTTTTTTAATGTCAGTTTTACTTTTATTTAAAAAAAGTTTTTCCCATTTTTTAAGAATCCCCATGAAAATGGATTTTTATTTAGGAGACCATTTTCTTAACTTGAATCTGTATTAATTATAGGCTGTTTAACAGTTTCTTAATTTCACATTGTGCTTTTTTTCTAATATCAAAATATCAAGAGAACAGCTTATGAAATGAGTATGAGTCAAGATTTAAAAATAGTTATTATTTTCTTTTTAAAAGGTTATTTTTTTCTGATAATACTTCAGCAATTTCAATGTGGCATTGGATTTTTGTAAGAACTCTGAACTTTTCTCTCAATAGAACCTGGGATTTCAAAAGAAAAAAACACTTGCGACGTTATTACTTTAAAGCTTGAGGAAACTTTTACTTTAAAAAAAAAAAGTTTCCCTCATGAACAGAGAAGAAACTTCTGATTTTTTTATCAGAAAATCAGCTTGTTTGTCTCGGAAAAGTGAGAAATTTGTACTAACCATGTCCACATAACATGCATTTGTGAAATTACCAGCGAAGATCAGGAATTCTTCGCTTGTCTGTGGAACAGAACAAATTTAATTGGCCTCTGTGGTGTAAAGGAACATTAATAAATCATTAGATCCATGTTCTAACTAGCCAAACATAATTACTGCAAACATTTCTTTACTTCTCCAGCAGTTTATTAAAACCTCAATTGTATTTAGACAATAATTTAGACAATAATTACAGCATCATTTTCCAAGCTGTACCCCCCTCTGGCTCTGCTAGATTTAACAAAATCACTTATGGAACAAAAACCCTTTCTGTAGTCCCATTCCCTGTTCTGTCTCCCTAAGTGGTGAGTTTATTCTGAATCCCAGAGTAAAAATTACTGACAGACTTTTCAGCATTTATCAGGATGGGCCAAGAAATGTGAAATAAGAGTCAGAGCAGCTGTAGCTCCCCTCCTAGGCAAATATTGAGGAAGACCTGAAGTACTCTCTGTTAAGAAGGCAGAGTAGTGACTGAGTTCACTCGAACAGTATTTGTGGGTATTCGGTAGATTTATATATTCTGCTAACCCCAGGTAATAGCTGATGAAGTGAACTTGTAAAACTGAACTGGACTATACTCTCTGCATAATAAGTCCCTCCTATTATTTTTTACTCTGGAGTATGATACACATTTTGTATAGTGTTCTTAGAATTCCTAGTACATCTGAGATTTAAGATACCAATAGTGTGATGTGTACAATATAAAAATATAATACTCCGCATTCTTTTTTTTAATCTAGCTTATGATTGATACACCTACCAGTCCAATTACCAGTGGACTTCCATTATTCTTTGTGATAACAGTAACCGCCATAAAGCAGGTATGAAATACTTTCTATTCTTGTTTCCCCATGTCATTCATAAGTTAAGTTGCTAAATGTGTCCACTCCAAGGTATCATTTATTGTTGTGAAAATAATTTCTATAAGAAAGAAGTGAATGTTTTTGATTTCACACATGATAAAATTAAACTGAATTTAGCCACACTATTATTATTTCAGGTGACTCATGCTCTGATTACCATTGTTAAAATGTTGTTCTCTTGACACACCTAGGAAGCATCCTAAACAAGCTTTTTATATGTATAAACCAAATTCTTACAAGTATACACATCAAAATAGCCTAATGTAATTCTGGTGAGTGGAATGTTTGGAGGCAGTTTTTATGTTTCTTTTTCTCATTTGATAAAAATATTTTCTAATTAGGTGAAGAGATTAGCCAAAGAACATATGTGCGTAGCCCATGGACACAGACAATAGTGTAGTGAAGTCCAGAGGAGTCGAAGGTTGGGGGCTGGGTGGAGGTGGGCAAAGCTGGAGAAGAGGAAAACATCTTTAATAGTGTTAACAATTAAAAAAAAATCTTCTAATTATACTAAAAAGGACACTTTTTTATTCTTTTGATATTTACAGGGATATGAAGATTGGTTACGACATAACTCAGATAATGAAGTAAATGGAGCTCCTGTTTATGTTGTTCGAAGTGGTGGCCTTGTAAAAACTAGATCAAAAAACATTCGGGTATGCATGTAGTAATTAATAGATATCAGTTATATTTTGATATCACAAATTCTAATCTGATTATATTTTAATTAAAAGCCTACTTTTCTACATTAAAATATTGTGATAGACCACTTGTTTAGAACCTAATAAGTCCTTGCCTTTTTAAATTGGTATATTCACTCTCCCCCAAATTCTTCATAGGTGGGTGATATTGTTCGAATAGCCAAAGATGAAATTTTCCCTGCAGATTTGGTACTTCTGTCCTCAGATCGACCTGATGGTTCTTGTCACATTACAACTGCTAGTTTGGATGGAGAAACTAACCTGAAGGTTTGTACATGTATATGTTTGAGTGTTCCTCTTGGTGAACAAAATGTCTTTGGATTAGAGTGATATTTTCCTTTGGTAAAGGTAATAAAGTGTGACCTGATAAAGGAGAAATATTTTTAAATTACTGAAATTTTAAAGAATTATTAAGTTTTTTAAAAGAAATAATGTTATATGTTTATTTCAAGGTTAACCTCACATGGTTTAGTCAAGTTAAAGAAAAATGGAAAGTGTTTTAGGAAAACTAAAATATTTTAACATTTTGGTTCCCTTTTTTTTAGATAAAGGAGATTTGAAGTAGATGGGGTTGTAAAGTACAGCATAGGGAACATAGTAATATGGTAATAAGTACATATGGTGTCAGGTGGGCACTACGTTTGTCAGGATGATCCCTTGGTAAGTTATATAAACGTCTCATCCCGTGGCTGCACACCTCACACTAATATAATACTGTATGTCAACTGTAATTGAAAATTAAATTATTTTTAAAAAAGAAATAGGTGATATGTAGGGTCCAGTTTGGATCTTAAAACTAGTTTAATCTTTTTTTTTAGACACATGTGGCAGTTCCAGAAACAGCAGTATTACAGACCGTGGCTCATTTGGACACTCTTGTGGCTGTGATAGAGTGTCAGCAGCCAGAAGCCGACCTGTACAGGTATGGTGTAACATTCAGCATACTCATTTTAAGTCCTGTTTACAGATCTCATGTTTACAATCATAAACATGCAATGACATCTTTAGCCAACTGAAGACATTACTGAAGGGGAGGAAGTGGAGCTACCAGTTACGGGGAACAATGGCGAAAAGCAGAATTTGCCAGAATTCTAATCCAAAGTATTAATTCAAGAGCAGAGCTCTTTTGTTCAGAATTTCCTTTCCATTACCTTCTACTTCTGTGTGACCTGGCTTTGTAACTATAATAGTAAACTTCATAAGTATAATAGTAGTTATAGGAGAAGTAAGATGATTATTTTAGAAGAAAGGAATTGTGTGCTTGTGTGTATGTGTATGTGTACTCCATGAAGGCAAGGGCTATGTTTTTGTGTTCACTCGAAACTAATTCCTTTTAACATCATGATTTATTGAATGCAATGTAAAGCATCTTTCAGTGATCTGCTAATTATTGTGGGCTATGAAATACAAACAACTTTTTATTCTTAAAGTGAAATACTAAACTCATTTTCACTCAGTAACTGCTGATAGAATATAAATTACAACCACATTGTAAAATTCACCCTTAGCTTCTTATCATGTGCTACGTCTCCTTCTATTGGTTCAGATGTTCCAATCTTATCATTAGTCATTGGCTTTTCCATAATAATTTCTTACATAATTTGTTATAGATCCATATACTATTTATAATGGAATTTTCTATGTTATGTTATAAAAATCTGCAGTTTCATTATAGTCAAATGAGGTATAGAGTTTTCTAATTAACCATAAAAATTTGGGGTCCTATACTTAAAGAGCATTTAAATTGTAAGATTTAACTGTGAAGAATTTAGCACTTTAAGATTTGTATATTGCTATTATTTCTTCATCTGAAACAATGGTGTGTTATAAAAATATTATTAAAAACTAGAAAATGGAACATTAAGCAGGCATAAGTTTAATGTGAGTTCAAATATCACTAAAGTATTGATGTGTGGTTTTTATATTATCTTGGAAAATGTGGAAAAAGTTAAAACTTTTTTTAATAGGAAATAATTCACTGTTAAATGTAAGGTGTTCCTCTTTATTTTCTCTTTTCCTCTTACTGAAAGTATATATTTTGTTTTAAATATAAATGTAACTACTACAGAAGACTTATAGTGGAAATATAACTCAATTAAATTTATTGCTGTTTGTATTCTTTCATTCAACAAATTATTGTTGAGCACCTATGTGCTCATTATGGTGGGTGAGAAATAAGATAATCAGCTGGTATCTGCCCTTGAGGAACTCATAGCTGTAAAGATATTATATATATATATATATAAAATTATATATTTTTCACTTTTCTATATGCTACATATAAGGGGAATATTGAAAGCATTTTAAATGTCCAATAGCAGAATGCTTACACGGGTACATGGTACAGATATAAAAAGGGAAATATGTAGAATATAAAAATGTTTTCGAAGAACTTAATGACATAGAAACATACTGAAATATAATTTAAATAAGATACAGAGTTGTAGCTCTCATCCTAATTTTTTATATGTGTATTTCTATGTATTTGATAGGTAGTTAAGTAGCAGGATAGAAAAATAGATAGGTACAGAGAGAAAGAAAATCCTGGAGGAATTACCTGTGAAAATGTTAGTAGATATTTCTTGGTAGTAGGATTTTAGCTGTTTTTTATTTGTTTATTTAATTTTGTTCTCCATATTTTCTAATATTTATTGAAAGAATGTGGATTGTTTTTGTAATTTAAAAAAAGTATTTTCCATTTTACTGCACAGTATTCTTCATGATCATTTCTAATGGCTGCGTAATAGTCTAAGTGAATGTACTAGAATCTAACCATTACCTCATTTTTGAATCCTAACTCTTCCTTTGTTTTGCTATTACAAACATTGTGTGGTGCATTATTACAAATAAGTTCATCAGTTCAAAATTCAGCAGTTGGATAGTTCGTCACTTCTCTTCTTTGATACAATTAGTTCACTTTGGCTTCCAGGATACTTCTCTCGATACTTCTCTCTCGCGGTTTTTCTCCTGCTTCACTAGTCCCTCCTTTCAGTCTCTTTGCTGATTTCTCCCGTTCTCCCTGGCTTCTTGATGTTAGAGTGCCTCAGGACTGTCCTCAGTTCTCTTCTGTTCCCTACCTGTACCTTTCACTCTCTACACTCCTTTGGTGATTTCATCCAAGGTGATGGCTATAAAGATCACCTACATGCTAACTCTCATATTTATATTTCCATCCAAGATGTCTTTTCCAAATTCCAGACTGTTATATCCAACTTCATGTTCTATAATTCTACTTTTAGACATTTAGTAGAAATCTCAAGTTAATCATGTTGAGAATTGAGCTCCTGATCTTCCCTCCAAAACTTTTTATGCCAACAATCTTTCCTGTCTTAGTTGATGATGGTCCCTCCTAACAATTCTTCAGGCCAAAACCCCTGGAGTCAGCCCTGACTCCCCAGAACCCCCCTTTACCAACCTTTCCTCACCTCCTGTCCCACATCTCATCTCAGTCCATTAGAACATCTTATTGGCTTACCTGCAAAATATATCCAAAATTTGGCTATCTTTCACTGATCTCACGGCTACTAATTTGTCTAAGTCGGCAGAATCTCCTACCTGGCTTACTGCTATCAAAGGCATTCTTACCAGTTCTTTTTTTCCCCCCTTCTTTCCCTCACAGTCTGTTCTCACAAAAGCAGCCAGAGTGATCCTTTTAAAATGTAAGTCAGATCAGATCATTACTCTGCTCAAACCCTGCAATGGCTTTTCCATCTCACTCTGAGTCAAAACCCATGTCTTTATAGTGATCTGTAAGACCTTACTGGTTGCCTCTGTCCCCGCCTTTCCTCTCTGGCCTGATTTCTGACCGTTCTCCCTCTTGCCCACCCACCAGCTACACTCCTTATTTTCTCCTGAACATGCTGCATTCCCTCCCACCTTTTCATTAGCTGTTCCTTAACCTTTACCACCTTCTAGTTGTCAGTGAGGCCTACTTTGATTATTTAATACTGCAACCTAATTCTTTTTACCCTGTTCTGCTTTTCTTTTCTTTTTTTTATAACACATAATGATACCTGCTAGTATATTATGTAATTTACTTACTTATTCTCTCTCTCCAACTACAGTGTAAAGTGAAGGGCGGGCATCTGTGTGTGTTTTGTTCACTGGTGTATCCCAAGTACCTAGAACAGATCTGGCATATAGGAGGCCTAACTGCATATTGCTGACAGTTGAAAAAACAAATATCTTAATGTATTTATATTTGTGCAGTCACATTTTTCCTTTTATTGAATTGTTTGTGATATATGCAAGCAAGATTTTTGTATGTATAATTCACTTTACTATTGAATTGACGTACTTGAATAGTACTAGGCTCGTACTAGACACTCAGTAAATATCTATTGAATGAATGGATGAATGATAGAGTTCTAAAATATTACTCAAACATTTTTGAGTCCATTCATTTATCAGATATCGAGTGCCTCCAATAATCAAGGCATAGTGCTAGACACAGAGAATAATGTGTTCACTTTGGCAGCACATATACTGAAATTCAGAATACTATGGGAAAGATACAATGATATAGCTCCTGCCTCCTAGAGTTTATAATCTACTACTAGATTATTCCCTAAGAACAGACAGAGCTGCAGAAAAGGAATTACTGGATTAAAGTACTAATAGTATGAAAGTACTAATAGTATTAGTACTAATAGTACTAATAGGATTAAAGTATGGCCTTTCATAAGCATACACTTTACAAAAGCATTGGACTAATTTTTATTGCCATTAGTAAAGTGTTAGTGTATGGGATTTTTTATATGGGATTTTTTATTGTTTCAGCATTTTACTAGTATTAAGTATTATAGTTTTAAAATTTTTTTTAATTTTGTACATAGTAGTTTCATAGTTTTAAAACTCATTTTATTTTTTATTAGAAAGGCTAAACGTTGTTTATTAATTCTTCCCCCTTGAGCATTGTTGACTCCTCCCTGCTACCTGTTTATTAATTGGGGTTACACTGTTTTTTTAAAAGAACCTCTAGCTCCCTGAGAGGATAAGGTGTGGTTAGAAACAAGCTCTGCCAGGCCACTGGAAGAAGTAAAACTTGGGAGAACCTTTTGATGGGGAGTAATCCCTAGCAGCTGTTTCACAGTGTTCTCCATTCATTCCCTTTTTCCTGGGCTCTTTTGCTCCTTCAGTTCTTTATTTTTTCCCCTTTTAATTTTTTAGACTCTGACTTAGCACTTCCACTTCTGGGAATTTATCCTAGCAAAATAATGAAATTCTGCTACTCCTAAGAACTTACCTTAATGAAAATATGAAAAGATACGTACACAAGTTGCTCAGGGTTGCATTAATTAGACCAGCAATTTTCAACAAGGGCACCACAAGAATTTTGAAAACATGTAATACCTGACTACTTAGTCAGGGGCACTGACCTCTTTTCCCTTAGATTCTCAAATTAAGAAATCACAACAGCCAACACAACAGTAGCTGTTGGTGTGAATGAATCAAAATTATACCTATTTTTTTTGTCAGATCAGCAAAATAACAAATTTTATGGTGTGCTGCAGAATTTTAATAATTAGCTTATGTGTGCCATGAGATGACAAAGGTTGAAAATTGCTGGTTTAGACTATCCATTAGTTGGAAAAGACATAAACTTCTATCAGTAGTGAATTATTTAAATAAATTACACTGTAACCCAAAAATGCAATATTATGTGTCCATTAAAAATAATGATGGAGATCTGTTTTTTTGGCAGGACATGGTGGGGGGGCGGTTACCAACAGTATTTATGGTATGATCCCATTTTTGTTTTTAAGATATGTATTTATATGTGCATGGAAAATATATCCCAAAATAATAGCAGTGTTTGTATTTGAGTGGTGGGATTACCTGTGATGGTTTTTTCCGTTTTGACATCTTTTTTATATTGTCTGAATCATTTTATAAAATGTGTGTGTTAGTATATAGTCTTTATAATCAGAAAAGATAATAATAATAAAGCTATTTTGCTTTGAAACAAATCAAAGTGTGGCTTTGGAGAAAGAGCTAAAGAAAGTGCAAGATGAGTTATTAATCTAGCATGGAACTGGCATGAACCGACAAGAAGTGCCTTAGAATAAAAAATAACAAAACATCAAATGAAGGAGAGCAGGAATTCTCCTGTTGGAACTTAGCTCAGGAAAATCAAGAGTGTACCACATCCTCTGAAAGATGCCCTGGAGACACCAGCTGAATTGGTTCTTTAAATCTAAATCCAAAATTGAGGTTGGAAACAAAACAAAGTTGAGATTAAAAAACAAAACGAAAACCCAAAAACCAACAGTGCTTTTCCCTGATACAGGTATTTAAAGGAAGCAGAAGGAAGAGATTAGCAAGAAACAATGAAGCCCAAGGAATAGAGCATCTGTGGCCTGGAAACAGGAGGAATAATAGGGGACATTGGGAAGGGAATGCTTAATGTTGCTTTGCCTAGTTAAATGATTAACATGAAAGCTCTATCTAGAATTTGCTTCAACTCAAAATTTACTTCTCACTATAGTAGGAAGTAATTATTCATTTGAATTGACTCCATGCAGTAGAGCTGTTAAGGTAGTGGAAGTTGGAACTGAAAGGCCAGATTATGAAAATTCATTGATAACAGGCCACTTACTCCAGAAGCTCTGGAGTTCACTGATAGGTTTTTGCTTACTACTCTATTCCTGCCACTTAATTTACACATAGTAGTTGCTCAGTGAATGTTAGTTGGCTGAACGAATGCATGAATAAGTAAATGAAAGATTCTAATCACAGGAAGCTTATTTAAGTAAACTGATGAAACGTGAGAATTCATTGTTGGCTAAATAATGTATACATCTTTGTGTAGCAACTATAAATTCTCATGATGAAACTAATGATAGTAATAATATATAACATTTGCATCACCATTTTGAAACATTTTTTCATTCATTACCTTGTTCATAGCTGGAGTGGGATGGCAAGGATATTAAAATTTTTTTTTAAAATATATCTTTATTGATTTCCAAGAGAGGAAAGGAGAGGGAGAGAGAGACATAGAATCATCAATGATGAGAGAGTCATTGATCAAGCCCGCAACCCGGGCATGTGCCCTGACCGGGAATCGAACCCCCATCGCCAGGATCCTAGGTCGACGCTCAACTGCTGAGCCACGCCCGGCCGGGCGGATATTAAAATTTTTAATGCTTAATGACTGATAAATATTTACTTTTATAATTTCTAACTTGATTATTGGACCATTTATATAAACAAAAGGTTGTTTGTTTTATGTATAAGAATAGTGCCAGAAGTATCTAAAGTTTTCTACCTATTGATGTTATAAGTCGATGTCATTGGCTTTTTTGTAACATGGTGAATTCTTTCACAGATTCATGGGGCGAATGATAATAACTCAACAGATGGAAGAAATTGTAAGGTAAGAACAAATTCACATTGTTTGGGGGAGGAACTAAAATCAAGTTGAGATATTAGATAAGTAAGCTGCATAAAATGGAAAAGGGTTCATGTACAAGCACTTAGCACTTTATCTTCTAGTTATTTGTAGCAGCAGCAAGTGAGGAGGAAGCAAATTCCATGAAATGATATCGAAATAATTTAGTAAGATTATGTGTATATTTGTATTTTTTTCCTAATGTCAGGTAGTAAAATAAAAGGAAACATAGGTATTCTCATTGAAATCCTTACCCACCACACTTAAAGTATAGAATACCAAAAAAAATGTCTTCTATAATGTTTAACAAGTATAAATGTATTACGGTAGTCTTCATTTCAAAATCATTTAGCACAAACTAGAGTATTTAATGGCCAATCCATAACCTCTTATTTATTCTTCTGATTGGATTTTTGTTTGGGTGGTTGTGGTGTTTTGTTTTCCCTCTATATTCAGGTTAATTTCTGGCTGCTACGTGAAAGGCCTTAGGATCATTTCAAAGACTTGCTGATAGGATGAGATTACATTGTTATTCATGACCACAAAGCCAAATTTTAAATAAATCTTGGAGTCATCCCTTCAACTTCTAAATCAAATGAACATTTCACCTTTTTTTCTGAAGACATATTCAGTTAAACTGGCTGCTTGAAATAAGTCACTGACATATAAAGAGGTGAACTTATTTTTTTATGAAATCTTCAAGATAAGCCACCAAAAATATGCATCAGCACTGATTCACGTTTTTAATAAACATTAACACAGGAGCATGTTCAATGAACTCTGTAACAAAGTCTCTTGAAGTATAGGGACCCAGCTTGAATAACTATGACTAGATTTTTATTTTTATTCTGTAGTGACATAATGAGATACATATGTGGATACATCGTCTGAATTGCATTAAGATACTGTGGCTAGTAAAGGAAAAGATCAGTTATATTACCTCAGCTCCTAGAATGATTAAAAAAAAAATGGGCCATGTTCTTTGCTGAAGCAACCAGAGTTTGCTGATGAATTACCTTTTAATTTGAAACTTTCTGTCATTGTATCCCAAGTGTATATGCCATTGTGAGCTCAGAGTTTTTCTATTCATTGTTAGAACCAACACCAAGTAAAAAAGAGCTATTTTATGGCTCCTGGTTAATTGATTTTGGAATATCCATGTAGTGTGCTTCAAATATGACTAGCTATTAAAATCACACTTGTTAACAATGTCCCAAACACCTGGTCCTCATTGGTTCATTGATTTTTTTTTAGAGTGTTTGTATTTACCAACATCTTTAAAATTGGTTCACTTTCTGTTTGATTTGGATGACTGTGTATGTATATTTCAGAAAAGCATAAGGAATATCAACAAAATTAAGACTTTTTAATGTATCCATAACAGAATCTTATCATTTTTCTATCACTAAAAAAATACAATTTTCTTTCTAGTTATTCTCATTTTATATCTCCTTTATGGAGAGAAATTCTAACAGCAAGAAGACCCATGCTCCAAGACGTATGCAATGCAAGTAGTAAAGTTGTAGTGTCAATCTTGCCTAGAAAAGTACTAACTCACTTACTACCTGATATTTTATAATCCAGAGTAACTTTAATTATGCAGAACTCATGCATTTATACACAAATCATGCCACAATTCATGTTTACATTGCATTTTAATGCTCTGTTTTCTTCAAAAACTTTATTAATTCTGCTCAAAATTTTCATTCTCTATTAAACATTTATAAATCATTGCTTAATCTTTTATTTTATTGTGTTTTATTTTTAAAATTTTTGCAGCTGGTATGGTGGCTTTGTGAGTTTATATACCAACATAATCTGACTTCTGAGCCACCAATCTTAAAGTGACTGAAATGCTAAAGAAGGTATTTTTGTTACGATAACTAACATGACTGACCTAGATAGTAGCTAAAATTTTGATTTTATATAAAAGCACTGTTGCAACTAGAACTCAAGTACTTTCTGCTGAAGATGCCATTTTAGAATTTAATTACATTTTTAATACATTTAATGCTTTTGGTTATTTTTTTTCCCTAGACCTCTGGGGCCAGAGAGTCTCTTGCTTCGTGGAGCCAGATTAAAAAACACAAAAGAAATTTTTGGTTTGTATATGTTGAAAAATTTTAATTATAGTTTCATGTTGATGCTTTATATGACCTATTTTTAAAAGCACAGCATTTGTGGTTCTTTTGGTTGGACAACTTGGACTTATTTAAATGTTGCCTGTGATAATTTTCTTACAAAGATTGTGTTAATATAATTTTGGTTGTAGTTTTTGTTATTAATCTCTGTTTTTGAGTAATAGACTAGAACTTGCTTTTATATTTTCTTTGTTGATATTTGTGAAACTTAGTGCTAAGAAGATAATTCTGGCACTTCTACTCATGGTGGATGAGAGCCAGTATGCCTGGCATCGTGGTGTAGTCGTTCTGTTACGAGTATTCTTAGATTGGATGAATAAAACTGCCGACTCATTCAGGCATTCAGCAAATTCTGTTGGATCATATATTGACTGGATCAACAGGATGAGTAAATAGTGCTCTTGCATTGGAGATCTTTTAATTAATTAATTCACAATTAATTAATTTATGCTCTGAGTCAATTCTAAGCAAGTTGAGAAATCAGCGATAATCTTTAGCTGTCAACTCGTTTTACCCATTTCAGAAGTGGCCCTTTCTACACTAGCCGGCTTATGCTGTCACTGGATGTTTGCAGGTTTTGAGTTCCGTCATCGTCCCCATTCTTGTCTTTCGTCTGTCTTCTCTCTCAGTGTTAGGCTCTCTGATAAAGAAATCCATATACTTTTTTTAAAAATGGAAAGTAACAAGTGTTGGTGAGGATGTGGAGAAGTTGGAACCCTCATACATTGCAACTGCTGTGGAAAATAGTGTGGCAGTTTCTCCATAAGCTAAATGTAGAATTACCATATGACCCAGCAGTTCTGCTCCTAGATACATACCCAAAAGAACTGAAGACAGGTGTTCAAACAGCACTATTTACAGAAGTCAAAAGGTAGAAACTGCCCAGATGTTGATCACCTAATGAATATATAAACAAAAGGTAGGCTGTTTATATCATGGAAAATTATTTACTATTAAAAAATGAAAATATTATGCCGAGTGAAAGAAGCCTGATATAAAAGCCACATATTGCATGATCCCATTTACTTGAAATACCCAGAATAGGCAAATTCTTAGAGACAGAAAGTAGACTAATGGCTGGGTCGTGGAAGGGAATGGAGAATGATGCTTACAGGTACAGGGTTTTCTTTGAGGGTGATGAAATATTTTCAAGTTAGGTAGTGAGGATGGTTACACAACTTTGTGAATATACTACGTGCCCTTGAGTTGTACATTTTTAAATGATTAAAATGGTAAATTGTATGTTACATATATTTTACCACAATCTAAAAAGAGAAAACCGCCCGGCCGGGCGTGGCTCAGCAGTTGAGCATCAACCTAGGATCCAGGCGATCGGGGTTTTGATTCCCAGTCAGGGCACATGCCCGGGTTGCGGGCTCGATCAATGACTCTCTCATCATTGATGTTTCTCTCTCTCTCTCCCTCTCCTTTCCTCTCTCTGAAATCAATAAAGATATAAAAAAATAAAAATTAAAAAAAATTAAAAGAGAAAACCATAATAAATATTCTGATAGCAGAATCCAGCGAAAACCTGTAAGGATTTTAGACCCTCTCCTATAATGCTGTATTTTAACACATCCCTCTAGCATTAATACCTTTCACGCCCTTAAAAGGTGTTATTTGAATGCCTTTAGATGGGTCTGCTGTTGTCTGCCTCAGTACCACCTCTCTCTGTTATATCACTCTGGCTGATTTCTATAATTTTGGTGCCCTTTGCATTTGAGTTACAATTTCTGCCTTTAAGGGATAATTCTAACGGTGAAAATTCCGGGACAAATCTTTAGGAAGAGGGCATGATGATTCCTCACTGCTTCTCAAATCTTGCTGTTTAGGAATGATCGTAAACATATGTTTCTAGGCATTTCCTAATTTTTCGTACAAACCCCACAACAATTTTATGAGGTATTTTTTTCCACTTAAAGGTGGGGAAATTGAGATCAAAGAGATTAAATAACTTGCCCAAGGATGCAGAACTAATAAGTGGCGGAGCTGGCATTCAAGTAAGGTCTAACTCCAACAAAGTTTTTTATAAGGCTGGTCTTAATTTCATTCACTCCCCAGGTTTAGTCCCATTATTACTGTCATTCTCGCTCATCTCATAGTCATTCACATAGGCACAAATTTTTTCAGTAGCCTGCCCCTTGTGTTTACTTTATTTACTCTGATAGATGTCCATATTGTCTCTCCAGTTCTTATGAAATTATGTCTAGCCTACAGATCCTGGCATTCAGGGGTTTTTAAACTCTGATCCTAATCTATTATTCCATCCTAACAGAAAGTGCTTTTTCATTTTTGTCTTTATTAACACTGTTTGTTCTATCTATAGTGGCCTGCCCTGCCATTTTTGTTTTTCCAGATCCTTTTCCTCCATCAATTCCAACTCAAAATAGTATCTCTTTCATTCATATATCTCAGTTATAACTCAGAAACAGAACCTCCATGCCTTCCTTATCCAGCAGGTTGAGCAACTGGATGGAGTTCCCTAAAATTGGAATTGGAAAGCCTTTATAAAATTCCAAAAAAGGAAAGTCAGATTTTAACAGCTGTTAAACAGTGCATTTTCTTAGATGCCTTCATGCTGGTGAGTACATTTCTCTTGTGAAACATGCTAGGGGATTATTATAAAGAACTATTTTGTTTTGTTTTGCAGGTGTTGCTGTATATACCGGAATGGAAACTAAGATGGCATTAAATTACAAGAGCAAGTCACAGAAACGATCTGCAGTGGAAAAGTAAGAAAACTATTTTCATTTTTTAGCACATAAATATAACTATGGATGTGTATATTATTCGTTATGTATAAAATATACATTCTGTGTAAAAATATATTTGATAAATATACAATGTCAAGCCAACACAAGATGCTATCCTTGAGGATAGGGATCGTTCTTATATTTTTGTATACATGTAGCATTTTGCACAATGTTTGCCATATAGTAGATGCTAAATTATGACTTTAAAATAAATATTATTTGGTAATAATGGAAACACTTGATCAGACTAACCCTCCTGCAGATAACATTGATAAAATCTGGACAAAACATTTTTAAAAATAAACAATTTGAAAGCTCTGGACAGTGA